TTACAGCCTGATCTAGTTTGTCGGCCCCACAGAAGAGTGATAGTCTGGCAAGAGCCATGAGAGCAGCTCTATCTTGGTCTCAGAGCTGCCAAAGGGAGGAGGCGGCAGCCATCCTGAGACACAGTGCATGGGCTGAGCCAAGAGGTAACACTAACAAGCCCGCGGCTCAGAAAAGAGGACAGAGCAGCAAGGCTCCCTGCACCAGCAGTTGTTGGGTAAGAGCACAAGAAGTCACAGAGGATTACCATTTTTTCAAACTAGGCTTAGCTTTAAAAAGGCTTGGGAACAACTGCTCCAGTTTAAGATAACACGGAAAAAAGGGAACGTGATGACCCCACATGTCCTCCTTGCTCTCCAGCAGTCTGAGGCTCAGAGAGAAGCAGAGTCTCTAACTTTTAAAAGGCAATCATAGTGAAAGTTTTCTTGGCTTCTCCAGAAGTACCACAACTTCCATAACTCTTTTTTAGGGCATTGTATCTTATTTTACCATATAACAATATATGGAAGATTATCTCATCATTTAAAGTATTCATCTATATTTCTTAATCATGCAACATCAGCCTCATTGCTGATCACATGAGCTTTGATAACTGGCCTAAAACTTAACTATCTTAGACTTCCTTTCTTCATGAACCAAGTAATTATCACTATGTGGACAAAAAAGATAAAAAGCAACATTCTAACCTTATTTATCTTAAACGTGCCAGGCCTGGCTGACCAGCCAGGGAAAAAAAACAGAATCGGTGACCCCCGTGCCACACACACTGGCCATGGTATGCTATGGTATATACCTCTGTGGCCAAAGATTACAGGCCTGGTCATGAAGTTAAAATGACCCCTTAGTTTTGAAGAACATTTATTTAGCCTTTCTTTAATATAATTTCTAGTTTAAATTGTGACCAAAATGGATGGCTCATATAAGTTAAGAGTTTGCAGCGTGTCCGTAACTTACTATATTATTAATGTGGTACTATGTAGACACCCAGAAATGAGAATGGAAACGCAGGGCTCCATCAGCCTTGAAAGCTTACAGTCTTGATAATATACTCTTGTTTTAGCTGCTTACTTCCTATTGCACACAAATCAACCTAATTATCTACCAAGTCATTTTTCAAATGTTAATTAATTTTTAAAATTTGGAGTCATTTGGCAACGAACCTCTCCTAGCTATACCTGGATACCCTTAATTGATTTTGGGTGGAGAAAGAACACATTTAAACACAAGACAATCTAATTTCAGACAAAAATCAATTATATTTTTTATCATGTTAGTGTTCAGTCTGAATAGCAATTTGAAGTCTTTGAAACGTTTTCTTAGACTTACTTAAAGAAAATGTTATCAATTTGCATTAAAATTAAATATTATGTTTTTCATTTTGTTGAACTATTGAAAAGTCCGGAATGGAATTTTCTGAAAGATGCAGAGATTGCCTGTAGTTTCCATAAAGACTCAAGTCTGGCAGTAAAATCTTTGTTAATTTTTAGTTGCATTTTCCTAGACTCATATTTTAGCACTGTATGTGGACTGCAATGACATGTTGGGCAAACAACTTAGACCAGTGCTTTCAAATGTTAAAATTTAAATAGGAAGCCAAAAGCAATTATGAGAAGTGTATAATCCATAAAACTGTCTTCACAATTAGTAGAGATGGTGGAATACTACTCAATCAAACCGTAATCAATGTATTCCACTATTAACAATCAAGGTATTTTGAGAATGTCTGCTTTATTGCTGAGCAAATTTAATCCCTAATGGCCAAATTCTACTTTTCATAGTCACATTCAATACAACCTACTGCCATATTAGCTCCCCTATTATTAGCAAACCAGTGCTAAAAGAAATTATTAAAACTAAAAACATTTAGAATTGTTCTTTCTTAGGTGACAGTTTGGAAAACACCTTCAGCTTACTTTTCTAAACATCAATTTTATTTTGTGCTAGATCAGCTTTACAAAAAAACAAACCCACAAAAATATTTGAGAGGGTTGCTCCAGTCGGTATTAGAGCTATGTTCAGAACCAAAGAGTATATGATGGAACTTTTTTGCCATTTTCTTCTCTTTGTATAGATTTTGAAGTGATGGGTATCTAAACTGTATGCCTACCAGTGATCCTGCATTATTGATTTCATTTCTGTGAGATGCATAGTATTTTGCACTTTAACACTGCCTCCAACTGCTCAAGGTAGGAAAACCAATTATGCAAATTTCTTGCAAGGCAAAAGGTAATATGGTTTCCTGAGCCAGTGAAAAAAAGGCCCTTGAGGTAGATCTATATTATAGTTTCAATATAGTGGCTCATTGGTTTTCAGTATTCTTTTACATTTTCATTTGGCAATAGGGTAAATTATTGGGAAACTATTACACCTTTTCAGATGTCTGTGCTAGCTATGCAAAATACGCTCATGTGCGTACAACAAGAATGAGAGGTTGAGTGAGAATCACTTAAAGGATAGCAAAAAATTTCATTTTTATCATTGTAATTTTTGTGTGGTAGCTAAGCACCGGAATAAGCCTTTGAAAATGATGTCTTTTAGCAAAATGCTTGATTAGCACTTTCAATAATACAAGTAAAAAAACCCCATTTAAAATAGTGGTGAAAATTCTGCTCAATGTGAAAGAGATTAAATGTTTATTGTCATAACGCTTTAAACCAATGTAAAATCCTCTGATCCATTACGTATTACAACAGATACCAACAAAGGACACTATCTACACTGTATTTTATCTTTGAAAACTAATGGCCTGAAACTGCCAAGATCTGAATGACTTCTATAACACCTCTTAGATGAATAAGGCCTGTTCATGGAATTGTCAAGAGCAAATCATGTCAAACCGATCTAATTTCCTTCCACAACGTGGTTACAGGGCTCGTAGGTGGGAGAGCAGCAGCAGATTATGTGTATCTTAAAGCTTTAAACAAATCGCACACGACATAAGGAACAGAAAGGTGGTTTTGAGGAAACTTTTACAGAGCGGGTGTAAACTGGCTGGAAAACCAAAACTATAACCAGAACAATTATCAGTGCTTCAATATTAGTATTATTAAAAAAAACCAACAGGTGGCATCTGTCCTGGCTACAGGTCTCTTTGTTCTTCTAATTAATGACCCAAACGATGAAATGGAATTTATTTATTTGCAGAGGACACAAAGCAAGGAGGGACCAAGCTCTTGGCCAACCATTTTGCAGGCCAAGATGAGAATTCAAAAGGCACCGACAAGCTGAAGGAGCGCCACAGAGAAAACCAGAACGAGATTCAGCGGGGGCAAGTACAACACTACGAGGAATAACCCCAAACCACTTTGGAAGGCATATGGTCACCCGGTATTTTCCCCTTGGGCCCAGTGTTCTTACAGACAGCGGCAGGGAGCTGCTTTCTTGCGCTGCTGCTTCACAGTGCCACCGCTCGGCACTTTATCCGGGAAGGCCTTGGCCTGTTCCGCCAAGGTCCGGAGCAGCAGCAGTTCTCAGCGCAAAATCCTCCGTCTCCAGCAAGCTCTCCGCTCTCC